CACCCACTCACTCACCCACTCACTCACCCACTCACCCACTCACTCACCCACTCACCCACTCACCCACCCACTCACCAACTCACCAACTCACTCACTCACTCACCCACCCACTCACCCACTCACTCACTCACTCACCCACCCACTCACCCACTCACCCACTCACCAACTCACCAACTCACCAACTCACCCACTCACTCACCCACCCACTCACTCACCCACTCACTCACTCACCCTCTCACTCACCCACTCACCCTCCCACTCACCCTCTCACTCACCCACTCACCCACTCACTCACCCACTCACCCTCCCACTCACTCACCCACTCACCAACTCACCCACCCACTCACTCACCAACTCACTCACCAACTCACTCACTCACCCTCTCACTCACCCACTCACCCACCCACTCACTCACCAACTCACTCACCCACTCACCAACTCACCCACCCACTCACTCACCAACTCACTCACCAACTCACTCATCCACTCACTCACCCACTCACCACTCACTCACCCACTCACCAACTCACCCACCCACTCACTCACCCACTCACTACCACTCACCCACTCACCCACTCACTCACTCACTCACCCACTCACTCACCCACTCACTCACTCACTCACCCACTCACTCACTCACTCACCCACTCACTCACTCACCAACTCACCAACTCACCCACTCACTCACCCACTCACTCACTCACCCACTCACCAACTCACCCACTCACTCACTCACCCACTCACCCACTCACCCACCCACCCACTCACCCACTCACTCACTCCACCCACTCACTCACCCACTCACCCACCCATTCACCAACTCAACAACTCACCAACTCACCAACTCACCCACTCACTCACCCACCCACTCACTCACTCACCCACCCACTCACCCACTCACCCACTCACTCACCAACTCACTCACTCACCCACTCACCAACTCACCAACTCACCCACTCACCAACTCACCAACTCACCCACTCACCCACCCACTCACTCAACTCACCCACTCACTCACTCACCCACTCACCCACTCACCCACCCACCCACTCACCCACTCACTCACTCACCCACTCACTCACCCACTCACCACTCACACCCACTCACCAACTCACCAACTCACTCAACTCACCCACTCACTCACTCACCCACCCACTCACTCACTCACCCACCCACTCACCCACTCACTCACCAACTCACTCACTCACCCACTCACCAACTCACCAACTCACCCAGTCACCAACTCACCAACTCACCCACTCACCCACCCACTCACCAACTCACTCACTCACCCACTCACCAACTCACCAACTCACTCACTCACCAACTCACCAACTCACCCACTCACCCACTCACTCACCCACTCACCCTCTCACTCACCCACTCACTCACTCACCCACTCACCAACTCACCCACTCACTCACCCACTCACCAACTCACCAACTCACTCACCAACTCACCAACTCACTCACCAACTCACCAACTCACCCAGTGTTGTTTACCCACCAACAGACCTGACCTGGTGGAAGTTTACTTGGCACTGATTCTCAAAGCCTTCATACAGAACGGACTCCTTCAGGTACTACCATAGACTACTACTATAGACTACACTACTATAGACTACTACTACTATAGACTACTACCACTATAGACTACTACTATAGACTACTACTACTATAGACTACTACTACTATAGACTACTACTATAGACTACACTACTATAGACTACTACTACTATAGACTACTACCACTATAGACTACTACTATAGACTACTACTATAGACTACACTACTATAGACTACTACTATAGACTACTACCATTATAGACTACTACTATAGACTACTACTATAGACTACACTACTATAGACTACTACTATAGACTACTACTACTATAGACTACTACTATAGACTACACTACTATAGACTACTACTATAGACTACTACTATAGACTACTATTACTATAGACTACTACCATAGACTACTATAGACTACTACTATAGACTACTACTATAGACTACTACTACTATAGACTACTACTACTATAGACTACACTACTATAGACTACTACTACTATAGACTACTACTATAGACTACTACTACTGTAGACTACTACTACTGTAGACTACTACTACTATAGACTACACTACTATAGACTACTACTACTATAGACTACTACTATAGACTACTACTACTATAGACTACTACTACTATAGACTACTACTACTATAGACTACTACTATAGACTACTACTACTATAGACTACTACTACTATAGACTACTACTACTATAGACTACTACTATAGACTACTACTACTATAGACTACTACTACTATAGACTACACTACTATAGACTACTACTATAGACTACTACTACTATAGACTACTACTACTATAGACTACTACTACTATAGACTATTACTATAGACTACTACTGTAGACTACTACTACTATAGACTACACTACTATAGACTACTACTACTATAGACTACTACTACTATAGACTACTACTACTATAGACTACTACTATAGACTACTACTATAGACTACTACTACTATAGACTACTACTATAGACTACTACTACTATAGACTACTACTATAGACTACACTACTATAGACTACTACTATAGACTACTACTATAGACTACTACTACTATAGACTACTACTACTATAGACTACTACCATAGACTACTACTATAGACTACTACTATAGACTACTACTACTATAGACTACTACTATAGACTACTACTACTATAGACTACTACTACTATAGACTACTACTATAGACTACTACTACTATAGACTACTACTATAGACTACTACTACTATAGACTACTACTATAGACTACACTACTATAGACTACTACTATAGACTACACTACTATAGACTACACTACTATAGACTACTACTATAGACTACTATTACTATAGACTACTACTACTATAGACTACTACTACTATAGACTACTACTATAGACTACTACTACTATAGACTACTACTACTATAGACTACTACTATAGACTACTACTACTATAGACTACTACTACTATAGACTACTACTATAGACTACTACTACTATAGACTACTACTACTATAGACTACTACTACCATAGACTACTACTACCATAGACTACTACTACTATAGACTACTACTACTATAGACTACTACTACCATAGACTACTATTACTATAGACTACTACTACTATAGACTACTACTACTATAGACTACTACTACCATAGACTACTACTACTATAGACTACTACTACTATAGACTACTACTATAGACTACTACTACTATAGACTACTACTACTATAGACTACTACTACTATAGACTACTACTACTATAGACTACTACTATAGACTACTACTATAGACTACTACTACTATAGACTACTACTACTATAGACTACTACTACTACTATAGACTACTACTACTACTATAGACCACTACTACTATAGACTACTACTACTATAGACCACTACTACTATAGACTATTACTACTATAGACTACACTACTATAGACTACTACTATAGACCACTACTACTATAGACTACACTACTATAGACTACTACTATAGACTACTACTACTATAGACTACTACTATAGACTACTACTATAGACTACTACTACTATAGACTACTACTACTATAGACTGGTAACATGTTGCCGTGATGATACAGACATTGGTGGAGGTGATCACTACGAGTGATGGAGATGTTTCTGTGCGAGCAACACTACTACTGGGAGAACTTCTGTACATGGTGAGGCCTTCTCACTCACCACTCACTCACCACTCACTCACCACTCACTCACTCACTCAGTCACTCACTCACTCAGTCACTCACTCACTCAGTCACTCACTCACTCACTCACCACTCACTCACTCAGTCACTCACTCACTCAGTCACTCACTCACTCACCACTCACTCACTCAGTCACTCACTCACCACTCAGTCACTCACTCACCCACTCACTCACCACTCACTCACCCACTCAGTCACTCACTCACTCAGTCACTCACTCACTCAGTCACTCACTCACCACTCAGTCACTCACTCACCACTCACTCACCACTCACTCACCACTCACTCACTCACTCAGTCACTCACTCACTCAGTCACTCACTCACTCAGTCACTCACTCACTCACTCACCACTCACTCACCACTCACTCACCACTCAGTCACTCACTCACCCACTCACTCACCACTCACTAACCCACTCACTCACTCAGTCACTCACTCACCCACTCACTCACTCACTCACCACTCACTCACTCACTCACCACTCACTCACTCACTCACCACTCACTCACCACTCACTCAGTCACTCACTCACCCACTCACCACTCACTCACTCACTCAGTCACTCACTCAGTCACTCACTCACCACTCAGTCACTCACTCACCACTCACTCACCACTCACACTCACCACTCACCACTCAGTCACTCACCCACTCACTCACTCACCACTCACTAACCCACTCACTCAGTCACTCAGTCACTCACTCACCCACTCACCCACTCACCCACCCACTCACTCACCACTCACTCACTCACCCACTCACTCACTCACTCACCTACTCACTCACCCACTCACTCACCCACCCACCCACTCACCCACTCACCCACCCACTCACTCACCCACACACTCACCCACCCACCCACTTACTCACTCACTCACTCAGTCACTCACTCACTCAGTCACTCACTCACCCACTCACTCACTCACCCACTCACTCACCCACTCACCCACTCACTCACTCACTCACCCACTCACTCACTCACTCACCCACTCACTCACTCACCCACCCACTCACCCACCCACTCACCCACTCACTCACCCACCCACCCACTCACCCACTCACTCACTCACTCACCCACTCACTCACCCACTCACCCACCCACTCACCCACCCACTCACCCACTCACTCACCCACCCACCCACTCACCCACTCACCCACCCACTCACTCACCCACACACTCACCCACCCACCCACTTACTCACTCACTCACTCAGTCACTCACTCACTCAGTCACTCACCCACCCACTCACTCACCCACCCACCCACTCACCCACTCACCCACTCGTTCTTGCTGTGCTTGTGGTTACCATGGTTACCGTGGTGGTTACCATGGTTACCGTGTGTGCGTTGCCAGGGCAACACCCTCCTGCCTCGGGAGATCTCTCAAGAAACTCACTGCCTCCCATCACTGGTGGAACAGGCGGCTGGAGATCAAGATCGTACACGCAGGCAGTGAGTCAGTCACTCAGTCACTCAGTCAGTCACTCAGTGAGTCACTCAGTCAGTCAGTCACTCAGTCACTCAGTCAGTCACTCAGTGAGTCAGTCACTCAGTCAGTCACTCAGTCAGTCACTCAGTCATTCAGTCAGTCAGTCACTCAGTCAGTCACTCAGTCACTCACTCACTCACTCAGTCAGTCACTCAGTCAGCCAGTCAGGCACTCAGCCAGTCACTCAGTCAGTCACTCACTGCCTCCCATCACTGGTGGAACAGGCGGCCGGAGATCAAGATCGTACTCGCAGGCAGTGAGTCAGTCACTCAGTCAGTCACTCAGTCAGTCAGTCAGTGACTCAGTCAGCCAGTCAGTCAGTCACTCAGTCAGTCAGTCAGTCACTCACTCAGTCAGTCACTCAGTCAGTCACTCAGTCAGTCACTCAGTCAGTCACTCAGTCAGTCACTCAGTCAGTCAGTCACTCAGTCAGTCACTCAGTCAGTCAGTCAGTCACTCAGTCAGTCACTCAGTCAGTCAGTCACGCAGGCAGTGAGTCACTCAGTCAGTCAGTCAGTCAGTCACTCAGTCAGTCACTCAGTCAGTCAGTCACTCAGTCAGTCAGTCAGTCACTCAGTGAGTCAGGCAGTCAGCCAGTCAGTCAGTCACTCAGTCAGTCAGTCACTCAGGCAGTGAGTCAGTCACTCAGTCAGTCACTCAGGCAGTCAGTCAGTCACTCAGTCAGCCAGTCAGTCACTCAGTCAGTCAGTCAGTCAGTCAGTCACTCAGTCAGTCACTCAGTCACTCACTCAGTCACTCAGTCAGTCACTCAGTCAGTCACTCAGTCAGTCAGTCACGCAGGCAGTGAGTCACTCAGTCAGTCAGTCAGTCAGTCACTCAGTCAGTCACTCAGTCAGTCAGTCACTCAGTCAGTCAGTCACTCAGTGAGTCAGGCAGTCAGCCAGTCAGTCAGTCACTCAGTCAGTCAGTCACTCAGGCAGTGAGTCAGTCACTCAGTCAGTCACTCAGGCAGTCAGTCAGTCACTCAGTCAGCCAGTCAGTCACTCAGTCAGTCAGTCAGTCAGTCAGTCACTCAGTCAGTCACTCAGTCACTCACTCAGTCACTCAGTCAGTCACTCAGTCAGTCACTCAGTCAGTCAGTCACTCAGTCAGTCAGTCACTCAGTCAGTCACTCAGTCAGTCACTCAGTCAGTCAGTCACTCAGTCACTCACTCAGTCAGTCACTCAGTCACTCAGTCAGTCAGTCACTCACTCAGTCAGTCACTCACTCAGTCAGTCAGTCACTCAGCCAGTCAGTCACTCAGTCAGCCAGTCAGTCACTCAGTCAGTCACTCAGGCAGTCAATCAGTCACTCAGTCACTCAGTCAGTCAGTCACTCAGTCAGTCACTCAGTCAGTCACTCAGTCAGTCAGTCACTCAGTCAGTCACTCAGTCAGTCACTCAGTCAGTCAGTCACTCAGTCAGTCAGTCAGTCACTCAGTCAGTCACTCAGTCACTCAGTCAGTCACTCAGTCACTCAGTCAGTCAGTCACTCAGTCAGTCACGCAGGCAGTCAATCAGTCAATCAGTCACTCAGTCACTCAGTCAGTCACTCAGTCAGTCACTCAGTCAGTCACTCAGTCACTCAGTCAGTCACTCAGTCAGCCAGTCAGTCACTCAGTCAGTCACTCAGTCAGTCACTCAGTCAGTCAGTCACGCAGGAAGTGAGTCAGTCACTCAGTCAGTCACTCAGTCAGTCACTCAGTCAGTCACTCAGCCAGTCAGTCACTCAGTCAGTCAGTCACTCAGTCAGTCACTCAGCCAGTCACTCAGTCAGTCACTCAGTCACTCAGTCAGTCACTCAGTCAGTTACTCAGTCACTCTGTCAGTCACTCAGTCAGTCACTCAGTCAGTCACTCAGTCAGTCAGTCACTCAGTCAGCCAGTCAGTCACTCAGTCAGTCACTCAGTCAGCCAGTCAGTCACTCAGTCAGTCACTCAGTCAGTCACTCAGTCAGTCAGTCACTCAGTCAGTCAGTCACTCAGTCAGTCACTCAGTCAGTCACTCAGTCAGTCACTCAGTCACTCAGTCAGTCACTCACTCAGTCAGTCACTCAGTCAGTCACTCAGTCAGTCACTCAGTCAGTCACTCAGTCAGTCAGTCACTCAGTCAGTCACTCACTCAGTCAGTCACTCAGTCAGTCACTCAGCCAGTCAGTCAGTCAGTCACTCAGTCATTCACTCAGTCACTCAGTCAGTTACTCAGTCACTCAGTCAGTCACTCAGTCAGTCACTCAGTCAGTCACTCAGTCAGTCACTCAGTCAGTCAGTCACTCAGTCAGTCAGTCACTCAGTCAGTCACTCAGTCAGTCAGTCACTCAGTCAGTCACTCAGTCAGTCAGTCACTCAGTCAGTCACTCACTCATTCAGTCACTCAGTCAGTCACTCAGTCAGTCAGTCACTCAGTCATTCACTCAGTCACTCAGTCAGTTACTCAGTCACTCAGTCAGTCAGTCACTCAGTCAGTCACTCAGTCACTCAGTCAGTCACTCAGTCACTCAGTCAGTCACTCACTCAGTCACTCAGTCAGTCAGTTGCTCAGTCACTCACTCAGGCAGTCAGTGAGTTACTCACTCAGTGACTGAGTGAGTGACTGAGTGTATGAGTGAGTGTCTGAGTGAGTGACTGAGTGAGTGACTAAGTGAGTGTCTGAGTGAGTGTCTAAGTGACTAGGTGAGTGACTGAGTGACTGAGTGAGTGACTGAGTGAGTTAGTGACTGAGTGAGTGACTGTGTGAGTGACTGAGTGACTGTGTGAGTGACTGAGTGACTGGCTGAGTGAATGACTGAGTGACTGACTGACTGTGTGAGTGACTGAGTGAGTAACTGAGTGAGTGACTGACTGCGTGACTGAGTGAGTGACTGAGTGACTGACTGACTGACTGAGTGAGTGAGTGACTGAGTGAGTGTCTGAGTGAGTAACTGAGTGACTGAGTGAGTGATTGAGTGACTGAGTGAGTGTCTGAGTGAGTGACTGACTTACTGAGTGAGTGACTGACTGACTGCGTGAGTGACTGAGTGAGTGAGTGACTGAGTGACTGCGTGAGTGACTGAGTGAGTGACTGACTGACTGCGTGAGTGACTGAGTGAGTGACTGAGTGAGTGACTGACTGCGTGACTGACTGCGTGACTGAGTGAGTGACTGAGTGACTGACTGAGTGAGTGACTGAGTGTCTGAGTGAGTAACTGAGTGACTGAGTGAGTGATTGAGTGACTGAGTGAGTGTCTGAGTGAGTGACTGACTTACTGAGTGAGTGACTGAGTGAGTGACTGACTGACTGCGTGAGTGACTGAGTGAGTGACTGAGTGAGTGACTGAGTGAGTGACTGAGTGGGTGACTGAGTGAGTGACTGCGTGAGTGACTGAGTGAGTGACTGACTGAGTGAGTGACTGAGTGACTGAGTGAGTGACTGAGTGAGTGACTGAGTGACTGAGTGAGTGACTGACTGCGTGAGTGACTGAGTGAGTGACTGAGTGAGTGACTGAGTGAGTCACTGAGTGACTGAGTGAGTGACTGAGTGACTGAGTGAGTGACTGTGTGAGTGACTGAGTGACTGGCTGAGTGAATGACTGAGTGACTGACTGAGTGAATGACTGACTGCCTGACTGAGTGACTGACTGACTGAGTGACTGACTGACTGACTGACTGACTGAGTGACTGACTTAGTGACTGACTGCCTGAGTGACTGACTGAGTGACTGACTGACTGCGTGAGTGACTGAGTGAGTGACTGAGTGAGTGACTGACTGCGTGACTGAGTGAGTGACTGAGTGAGTGACTGACTGACTGAGTGAGTGACTGAGTGACTGATTGAGTGATTGAGTGACTGAGTGAGTGACTGAGTGAGTGACTGACTGACTGCATGAGTGACTGAGTGAGTGACTAAGTGAGTGATTGAGTGACTGAGTGAGTGACTGAGTGAGTGACTGACTGACTGCGTGAGTGACTGAGTGAGTGACTGACTGCGTGACTGAGTGAGTGACTGAGTGACTGACTGACTGAGTGAGTGACTGAGTGAGTGTCTGAGTGAGTAACTGAGTGACTGAGTGAGTGACTGAGTGACTGATTGAGTGTCTGAGTGAGTGACTGACTTACTGAGTAAGTGACTGACTGCATGAGTGACTGAGTGAGTGACTGAGTGAGTGACTGAGTGAGTGACTGAGTGACTGCGTGAGTGACTGAGTGAGTGACTGACTGACTGCATGAGTGACTGAGTGAGTGACTGAGTGAGTGACTGACTGAGTGACTGAGTGAGTAACTGACTGACTGCGTGAGTGACTGAGTGAGTGACTGAGTGAGTGACTGAGTGAGTGACTGCATGAGTGACTGACTGAGTGAGTGAGTGACTGAGTGACTGAGTGAGTGACTGAGTGACTGAGTGACTGACTGAGTGACTGACTGCGTGAGTGACTGACTGCGTGACTGAGTGAGTGACTGAGTGAGTGACTGAGTGAGTGACTGAGTGACTGCGTGAGTGACTGACTGACTGCGTGAGTGACTGAGTGAGTGACTGAGTGAGTGACTGAGTGAGTGACTGAGTGACTGCATGAGTGACTGCATGAGTGACTGACTGACTGCATGAGTGACTGAGTGAGTGACTGAGTGAGTGATTGAGTGACTGAGTGAGTGACTGAGTGAGTGACTGACTGACTGCGTGAGTGACTGAGTGAGTGACTGAGTGAGTGACTGACTGCGTGACTGAGTGAGTGACTGAGTGACTGACTGACTGAGTGAGTGACTGAGTGAGTGTCTGAGTGAGTAACTGAGTGACTGAGTGAGTGACTGAGTGACTGATTGAGTGTCTGAGTGAGTGACTTACTGAGTGAGTGACTGACTGACTGCATGAGTGACTGAGTGAGTGACTGAGTGAGTGACTGAGTGAGTGACTGAGTGACTGCGTGAGTGACTGAGTGAGTGACTGACTGACTGCATGAGTGACTGAGTGAGTGACTGAGTGAGTGACTGACTGAGTGACTGAGTGAGTAACTGACTGACTGCGTGAGTGACTGAGTGAGTGACTGAGTGAGTGACTGCATGAGTGACTGACTGAGTGAGTGAGTGACTGAGTGACTGAGTGAGTGACTGAGTGACTGACTGAGTGACTGACTGCCTGAGTGACTGACTGACTGCGTGAGTGACTGACTGCGTGACTGAGTGAGTGACTGAGTGAGTGACTGAGTGAGTGACTGAGTGACTGCGTGAGTGACTGAGTGAGTGACTGACTGACTGCGTGAGTGACTGAGTGAGTGACTGAGTGACTGCATGAGTGACTGAGTGAGTGATTGACTGACTGCGTGAGTGACTGAGTGAGTGAGTGAGTGACTGACTGAGTGACTGAGTGAGTGACTGAGTGAGTGACTGAGTGACTGCGTGAGTGACTGAGTGAGTGACTGACTGACTGCGTGAGTGACTGAGTGAGTGACTGAGTGACTGCATGAGTGACTGAGTGAGTGATTGACTGACTGCGTGAGTGACTGAGTGAGTGAGTGAGTGACTGACTGAGTGACTGAGTGAGTGTCTGAGTGAGTAACTGAGTGACTGAGTGAGTGACTGAGTGACTGAGTGAGTGTCTGAGTGAGTAACTGAGTGACTGACTGAGTGACTGAGTGAGTAACTGAGTGACTGAGTGAGTGACTGAGTGACTGAGTGAGTGTCTGAGTGAGTAACTGAGTGACTGACTGAGTGACTGAGTGAGTGACTGAGTGAGTGTCCAACCGGGCGACCGACTGACCTTTCCCTTTTACCCCTTCTCACCCCCCCCCCACCCTCACCACCACCACCACCACTCACCACCACTCCTCACCACCACTCCTCACCGCTCACCACCCTCACCACCACCCTCACCACCACCACCCCCACCGGTCACCACCCCCGCTCACCACCACCCCTCAATGCTCACCCCCACCCTCACCACCACTCCTCACCGCTCACCCCCACCCTCACCACCCTCACCACCCCCACCCTCACCACCCTCACCACCACCACCCTCACCACCACCACCACTCACCACCGTCACCACCACCACTCACCACCACCCTCACCACCGCTCACCACCCTCACCACCACCCTCACCACCACCACCACCACTCACCACCATCACCACCATCACCACCGCTCACCACCACCCTCACCACCCTCACCACCACTCACCACCACCACTCACCACCACCACCACCCTCACCACCACCCTCACCACCACCACCATCACCACCACCACTACCATCACCATCACCACCACCACCACCATCACCACCACCATCACCACCACCACCCTCACCACCACCCTCACCACCACCACCATCACCACCACCACTACCATCACCATCACCACCACCACCACCATCACCACCACCATCACCACCACCACCATCACCATCACCACCACCACCATCACCACCACCACCATCACCACCACCACCACTCCTCACCACCACCACCACCGCTCAATCCCAGGCGAGCCTGCCTGGCCATCTCTCGCCTGCAGCGTCTCCACTCCCTCCACCGACGTAGGCCAAAGCCTAACAGCCTCTACCTGGATGCCCTCCTCACCCGCTCGCTCACCTCCGCTCACCACCACGCTCACCACCACGCTCACCGCCACCACCACCACCAGCAGCACCAGCAGCGCCATCAGCAGCACCAGCAGCATCAGCATCAGCAGCAGCATCATCATCATCATCAGCAGCTGATGTCCGGCCAGCAGGGTTCGCTAGGCCGGCCCTGGGCCCACCACCACCACCACCACCACTACTCATCCTACACCACCTCGCCCGGATTGGCGCTAGGCGCTCACCATCACGGGCAGGCGGTGAAGGCCTTGCTGCCTCCCAAGGTGAGCGGTCAGGTCAATAGGTCAGTAGGTCGGTCAGTCAGTAGGTCAGTCAGTCACTCGGTCAGTCACTTGGTCAGTCAGTTGGTCAGTCACTTGGTCAGTCACTTGGTCAGTCACTTGGTCAGTCACTTGGTCGGTCACTTGGTCAGTCACCCGCCCAGCCAGCAGGGCTGGCTAGGCCGGCCCTGGGCCCACCACCACCACCACTACTCATCCTACACCACCTCGCCCGGACTGGCGCTAGGCGCTCACCATCACGGGCAGGCGGTGAAGGCCTTGCTGCCTCCCAAGGTGAGCGGTCAGTAGGTCAGTAGGTCAGTCGGTCAGTCAGTCGGTCAGTCAGTCAGTCACTTGGTCAGTCGATCAGTCACTTGGTCAGTCGATCAGTCACTTGGTCAGTCGATCAGTCGTTCGGTCACTTGGTCACTTGGTCGGTCGGTCGGTCGGTCGATCCGTCGGTCAGTCAGTCAGTCGCTCAGTCAATCAGTCAGTCAGTCAGTCGCTCAGTCACTTGGTCAGTCACTTGGTCAGTCAGTTGGTCAGTCACTTGGTCAGTCACTTAGTCACTTGGTCAGTCACTTGGTCAGTCACTTGGTCAGTCACTTGGTCAGTCACTTGGTCAGTCAGTCGGTCAGTCACTTGGTCAGTCACTTGGTCAGTCAGTCAGTCAGTCAGTAGGTCAGTCAGTCACTCGGTCTGTCGGTTAGTCACTTGGTCACTCGGTCACTCGGTCAGTCAGTCGGTCGATCCGTCGGTCAGGCAGTCAGTCGCTCAGTCAATCAGTCAGTCGGTCAGTCACTTGGTCAGTCAGTTGGTCAGTCAGTCGGTCAGTCACTTGGTCAGTCACTTGGTCAGTTAGTTGGTCAGTCACTTGGTCAGTCACTTGGTCAGTCAGTTGGTCAGTCACTTGGTCAGTCAGTTGGTCAGTCAGTTGGTCAGTCACTTGGTCAGTCACTTGGTCAGTTAGTTGGTCAGTCACTTGGTCAGTCACTTGGTCAGTTAGTTGGTCAGTCACTTGGTCAGTCACTTGGTCAGTCAGTTGGTCAGTCACTTGGTCAGTCAGTTGGTCAGTCAATCAGTCACTTGGTCAGTCACTTGGTCAGTCAGTCGGTCAGTCACTTGGTCAGTCACTTGGTCAGTCAGTCAGTCACTTGGTCAGTCACTTGGTCAGTCACTTGGTCAGTCACTTGGTCAGTCACTTTGTCAGTCGGTTAGTCACTCGGTCAGTCACTTGGTCAGTCAGTCGCTCAGTCAATCAGTCGCTTGGTCAGTCACTTGGTCAGTCACTTGGTCAGTCACTTGGTCAGTCAGTCGGTCAGTCACTTGGTCAGTCACTTGGTCAGTCAGTCGGTCAGTCAGTCGGTCAGTCACTTGGTCAGTCAGTTGGTCAGTCACTTGGTCAGTCACTTGGTCAGTCAGTCGGTCACTTGGTCAGTCACTTGGTCAGTTAGTTGGTCAGTCACTTGGTCAGTCACTTGGTCAGTTAGTTGGTCAGTCACTTGGTCAGTCACTTGGTCAGTCAGTTGGTCAGTCACTTGGTCAGTCAGTTGGTCAGTCAATCAGTCACTTGGTCAGTCACTTGGTCAGTCAGTCGGTCAGTCACTTGGTCAGTCACTTGGTCAGTCAGTCAGTCACTTGGTCAGTCACTTGGTCAGTCACTTGGTCAGTCACTTGGTCAGTCACTTTGTCAGTCGGTTAGTCACTCGGTCAGTCACTTGGTCAGTCAGTCGCTCAGTCAATCAGTCGCTTGGTCAGTCACTTGGTCAGTCACTTGGTCAGTCACTTGGTCAGTCAGTCGGTCAGTCACTTGGTCAGTCACTTGGTCAGTCAGTCGGTCAGTCAGTCGGTCAGTCACTTGGTCAGTCAGTTGGTCAGTCACTTGGTCAGTCACTTGGTCAGTCAGTCGGTCACTTGGTCAGTCACTTGGTCAGTCACTTGGTCAGTCACTTGGTCAGTCACTTGGTCAGTCAGTCAATCAGTCACTTGGTCAGTCACTTGGTCAGTCACTTGGTCAGTCACTTGGTCAGTCACTTGGTCAGTCAGTTGGTCAGTCACTTGGTCAGTCACTTGGTCAGTCACTCGGTCACTTGGTCAGTCAGTCGGTCAGTCAGTCGATCAGTCGGTCAGTCACTCGGTCATTCGGTCAGTCAGTCAGTTGGTCAGTCACTCGGTCAGTCAATTGCTCAGTCAATCAGTCACTTGGTCAGTCACTTGGTCAGTCGCTTGGTCAGTCACTTGGTCAGTCAGTCGATCAGTCACTTGATCAGTCACTTGGTCAGTCAGTTGGTCAGTCACTTGGTCAGTCACTTGGTCAGTCACTTGGTCAGTCGCTTGGTCAGTCACTTGGTCAGTCACTTGGTCAGTCACTTGGTCAGTCAGTCACTTGGTCAGTCACTTGGTCGGTCACTTGGTCAGTCAGTTGGTCAGTCACTTGATCAGTCACTTGGTCAGTCGCTTGGTCAGTCACTTGGTCAGTCAGTTGGTCAGTCACTTGGTCAGTCACTTGGTCAGTCACTTGGTCAGTCGCTTGGTCAGTCACTTGGTCAGTCACTTGGTCAGTCACTTGGTCAGTCAGTCGCTCAGTCACTTGGTTAGTCAGTCGGTCAGTCAGTCGGTCAGTCAGTTGGTCGGTCAGTCGCTTGGTCAGTCACTTGGTCAGTCAGTTGGTCAGTCACTTGGTCAGTCACTTGTTCAGTCACTTGGTCAGTCAGTCGCTCAGTCAATCAGTCACTTGGTCAGTCACTTGGTCAGTCAGTTGGTCAGTCACTTGGTCAGTCCGGACTGGCGCTAGGCGCTCACCATCACGGGCAGGCGGTGAAGGCCTTGCTGCCTCCCAAGGTGAGCGGTCAGTAGGTCAGTAGGTCAGTAGGTCAGTCAGTCAGTAGGTCAGTCAGTCACTTGGTCAGTCAGTCACTTGGTCATTCGGTCGGTCAGTCGATCAGTCAGTCACTCGGTCGGTCGGTCGATCGATCCGTCGGTCAGTCAATCAGTCGGTCAGTCGCTCAGTCAATCAGTCACTTGGTCAGTCACTTGGTCAGTCACTTGGTCAGTCAGTTGGTCAGTCACTTCGTCAGTCACTTGGTCAGTCACTTGGTCAGTCACTTGGTCAGTCAGTTGGTCAGTCACTTGGTCAGTCACTTGGTCAGTCGCTTGGTCAGTCACTTGGTCAGTCAGTTGGTCAGTCACTTGGTCAGTCACTTGGTCAGTCACTTGGTCAGTCACTTGGTCAGTCACTTGGTCAGTCAGTCGGTCAGTCACTTGGTCAGTCAATCAGTCACTTGGTCAGTCACTTGGTCAGTCACTTGGTCAGTCACTCGGTCAGTCACTTGGTCAGTCACTTGGTCAGTCGCTTGGTCAGTCACTTGGTCAGTCACTTAGTCAGTCGGTCAGTCACTTGGTCAGTCACTTGGTCAGTCACTTGGTCAGTCAGTTGGTCAGTCACTTGGTCAGTCACTTGGTCAGTCACTTGGTCAGTCGCTTGGTCAGTCAGTTGGTCAGTCACTTGGTCAGTCACTTGGTCAGTCACTTGGTCAGTCACTTGGTCGGTCACTTGGTCGGTCACCCACCCAGCCAGCAGGGCTGGCTAGGCCGGCCCTGGGCCCACCACCACCACCACTACTCATCCTACACCACCTCGCCCGGACTGGCGCTAGGCGCTCACCATCACGGGCAGGCGGTGAAGGCCTTGCTGCCTCCCAAGGTGAGCGGTCAGTAGGTCAGTAGGTCAGTCAGTTGGTCAGTCAGTCAGTAGGTCAGTCACTTGGTCAGTCAGTTGGTCAGTCACTTGGTCAGTCAGTTGGTCAGTCGCTTGGTCAGTCGCTTGGTCAGTCACTTGGTCAGTCAGTCGGTCAGTCACTTGGTCAGTCACTTGGTCAGTCAGTCGGTCAGTCACTTGGTCAGTCAGTTGGTCAGTCACTTGGTCAGTCACTTGGTCAGTCAGTTGGTCAGTCAGTCGGTCAGTCACTTGGTCAGTCACTTGGTCAGTCACTTGGTCAGTCACTTGGTCAGTCAGTTGGTCAGTCACTTGGTCAGTCACTTGGTCAGTCGGTCAGTCGGTCGATCCATCGGTCAGTCAGTCAGTCGGTCAGTCACTCCATCAGTCAGTCGCTCAGTCCATCAGTCACTTGGTCAGTCACTTGGTCAGTCAGTCGCTCAGTCACTTGGTCAGTCAGTTGGTCAGTCAGTCAATCAGTCACTTGGTCAGTCACTTGGTCAGTCACTTGGTCAGTCAGTCGCTCAGTCACTTGGTCAGTCACTTGGTCAGTCAGTCACTCGGTCAGTCAGTTGGTCAGTCAGTCGGTCAGTCACTTGGTCAGTCACTTGGTCAGTCAGTTGGTCAGTCAGTCGGTCAGTCACTTGGTCAGTCACTTGGTCAGTCACTTGGTCAGTCACTTGGTCAGTCAGTTGGTCAGTCACTTGGTCAGTCACTTGGTCAGTCGGTCAGTCGGTCGATCCATCGGTCAGTCAGTCAGTCGGTCAGTCACTCCATCAGTCAGTCGCTCAGTCCATCAGTCACTTGGTCAGTCACTTGGTCAGTCAGTCGCTCAGTCACTTGGTCAGTCAGTTGGTCAGTCAGTCAATCAGTCACTTGGTCAGTCACTTGGTCAGTCACTTGGTCAGTCAGTCGCTCAGTCACTTGGTCAGTCACTTGGTCAGTCAGTCACTCGGTCAGTCGGTCAGTCAGTCACCCACCCAGCCAGCAGGGTTCGCTAGGCCGGCCCTGGGCCCACCACCACCACCACCACCACTACTCATCCTACACCACCTCGCCCGGACTGGCGCTAGGCGCTCACCATCACGGGCAGGCGGTGAAGGCCTTGCTGCCTCCCAAGGTGAGCGGTCAGTAGGTCAGTAGGTCAGTAGGTCAGTCAGTCAGTAGGTCAGTCACTTGGTCAGTCACTTGGTCAGTCAGTCGGTCAGTCAGTCACTCGGTCAGTCAGTCACTCGGTCAGTCAGTTAGTCGGTCACTTGGTCAGTCACTTGGTCAGTCACTTGGTCAGTCACTTGGTCAGTCACTTGGTCAGTCAGTTGGTCAGTCGCTTGGTCAGTCACTTGGTCAGTCGCTTGGTCAGTCGCTTGGTCAGTCACTTGGTCAGTCACTTGGTCAGTCACTTGGTCAGTCACTTGGTCAGTCAGTTGGTCAGTCACTTGGTCAGTCACTTGGTCAGTCACTTGGTCAGTCACTTGGTCAGTCAGTCAATCAGTCACTTGGTCAGTCACTTGGTCAGTCACTTGGTCAGTCGCTTGGTCAGTCAGTCGGTCAGTCACTTGGTCAGTCAGTCGGTCAGTCACTTGGTCAGTCACTCGGTCAGTCAGTCGGTCACTTGATCAGTCAATCAGTCGGTCGGTCAGTCAGTCAGTCACTTGGTCAGTCACTTGGTCAGTCAGTTGGTCAGTCACTTGGTCAGTCAGTTGGTCAGTCACTTAGTCAGTCGGTCAGTCACTTGGTCAGTCACCCACCCAGCCAGCAGGGCTGGCTAGGCCGGCCCTGGGCCCACCACCACCACCACTACTCATCCTACACCACCTCGCCCGGACTGGCGCTAGGCGCTCACCATCACGGGCAGGCGGTGAAGGCCTTGCTGCCTCCCAAGGTGAGCGGTCAGTAGGTCAGTAGGTCAGTAGGTCAGTCAGTCAGTAGGTCAGTCACTTGGTCAGTCACTTGGTCAGTCAGTCGGTCAGTCAGTCACTCGGTCAGTCAGTCACTCGGTCAGTCAGTTAGTCGGTCACTTGGTCAGTCACTTGGTCAGTCACTTGGTCAGTCACTTGGTCAGTCACTTGGTCAGTCAGTTGGTCAGTCGCTTGGTCAGTCACTTGGTCAGTCGCTTGGTCAGTCGCTTGGTCAGTCACTTGGTCAGTCACTTGGTCAGTCACTTGGTCAGTCACTTGGTCAGTCAGTTGGTCAGTCACTTGGTCAGTCACTTGGTCAGTCACTTGGTCAGTCACTTGGTCAGTCAGTCAATCAGTCACTTGGTCAGTCACTTGGTCAGTCACTTGGTCAGTCAGTCGGTCAGTCAGTCACTCGGTCAGTCAGTCACTCGGTCAGTCAGTTAGTCGGTCACTTGGTCGGTCACTTGGTCAGTCACTTGGTCAGTCAGTCGGTCAGTCAGTCGGTCAGTCAGTCGGTCAGTCACTTGGTCAGTCACTTGGTCAGTCAGTTGGTCGGTCAGTTGGTCAGTCACTTGGTCAGTCACTTGGTCAGTCACTTGGTCAGTCACTTGGTCACCCACCCACCCAGCCAGCAGGGCTGGCTAGGCCGGCCCTGGGCCCACCACCACCACCACTACTCATCCTACACCACCTCGCCCGGACTGGCGCTAGGCGCTCACCATCACGGGCAGGCGGTGAAGGCCTTGCTGCCTCCCAAGGTGAGCGGTCAGTCGGTCAGTAGGTCAGTAGGTCAGTCAGTCAGTAGGTCAGTCAGTCACTTGGTCAGTCAGTCACTTGGTCATTCGGTCGGTCAGTCGATCAGTCAGTCACTCGGTCGGTCGGTCGATCGATCCGTTGGTCAGTCAATCAGTCGGTCAGTCACTCAGTCAATCAGTCACTTGGTCAGTCACTTGGTCAGTCACTTGGTCAGTCACTTGGTCAGTCAGTTGGTCAGTCACTTGGTCAGTCACTTGGTCAGTCAGTCGGTCAGTCACTTGGTCAGTCACTTGGTCGGTCACTTGGTCGGTCAGTCGGTCAGTCACTTGGTCAGTCACTTGGTCAGTCACTTGGTCAGTCAGTCGGTCAGTCAGTCACTCGGTCAGTCAGTCACTCGGTCAGTCAGTTAGTCGGTCACTTGGTCGGTCACTTGGTCAGTCACTTGGTCAGTCACTTGGTCAGTCACGTGGTCAGTCACTTGGTCAGTCACCCACCCAGCCAGCAGGGCTGGCTAGGCCGGCCCTGGGCCCACCACCACCACCACTACTCATCCTACACCACCTCGCCCGGACTGGCGCTAGGCGCTCACCATCACGGGCAGGCGGTGAAGGCCTTGCTGCCTCCCAAGGTGAGCGGTCAGTCGGTCAGTAGGTCAGTAGGTCGGTCAGTCAGTCACTTGGTCAGTCGATCAGTCACTTGGTCAGTCGATCAGTCGTTCGGTCACTTGGTCACTCGGTCGATCCGTCGGTCGATCCGTCGGCCAGTCAGTCAGTCGCTCAGTCAATCAGTCAGTCGGTCAGTCACTTGGTCAGTCACTTGGTCAGTCACTTGGTCAGTCAGTTGGTCAGTCACTTGGTCAGTCACTTGGTCAGTCACTTGGTCAGTCACTTGGTCAGTCAGTCGGTCAGTCACTTGGTCAGTCACTTGGTCAGTCACTTGGTCGGTCAGTTGGTCAGTCACTTGGTCAGTCAGTTGGTCAGTCACTTGGTCAGTCAGTCACTTGGTCAGTCACTTGGTCAGTCAGTCAGTCAGTCGGTCAGTCACTTGGTCAGTCACTTGGTCAGTCACTTGGTCAGTCACATGGTCAGTCACTTGGTCAGTCACTTGGTCAGTCACTTGGTCAGTCAGTTGGTCAGTCACTTGGTTGGTCGGTCGGTCGCTCAGTCAGTCACTTGGTCATTCGGTCGGTCACTTCATCAGTCGGTCGATCCGTCGGTCAGTCACTCGGTCAGTCAGTCAGTCACTCGGTCAGTCAGTCAGTTAGTCGGTCAGTCACTTGGTCAGTCGGTCGATCCGTCGATCAGTCAGTCAGTCGGTCAGTCACTCCGTCAGTCAGTCGCTCAGTCAATCAGTCACTTGGTCAGTCGCTTGGTCAGTCACTTGGTCAGTCAGTTGGTCAGTCACTAGGTCAGTCACTTGGTCAGTTGCTTGGTCAGTCACTTGGTCGGTCACTTGGTCAGTCAGTTGGTCAGTCACTTGGTCAGTCACTTGGTCAGTCACTTGGTCAGTCGGTCGGTCAGTCGATCAGTCAGTCACTCGGTCAGTCAGTCACTCGGTCAGTCAGTTAGTCGGTCAGTCACTTGGTCAATCGGTCAGTCGGTCGATCCGTCGGTCAGTCAGTCAATCGGTCAGTCACTCTGTCAGTCAGTCGCTCAGTCAATCAGTCACTTGGTCAATCAGTTGGTCAGTCACTTGGTCAGTCACTTGGTCAGTCACTTGGTCGGTCACTCGGTCAGTCACTTGGTCAGTCACTTGGTCGGTCACTTGGTCAGTCACTTGGTCAGTCACTTGGTCAGTCAGTTGGTCAGTCACTTGGTCAGTCACTTGGTCAGTCAGTCGGTCAGTCAGTCGGTCAGTCACTTGGTCAGTCACTTGGTCAGTCACTTGGTCAGTCAGTTGGTCAGTCACTTGGTCAGTCACTTGGTCAGTCACTTGGTCAGTCAGTCGGTCAGTCACTTGGTCGGTCACTTGGTCAGTCACTTGGTCAGTCACTTGGTCAGTCACTTGGTCAGTCAGTCGGTCAGTCACTTGGTCAGTCACTTGGTCGGTCACTTGGTCAGTCACTTGGTCAGTCACTTGGTCGGTCACTTGGTCAGTCACTTGGTCAGTCAGTCGGTCAGTCACTTGGTCAGTCACTTGGTCAGTCACTTGGTCGGTCACTTGGTCAGTCACTTGGTCAGTCACTTGGTCAGTCGCTTGGTCAGTCACTTTGTCAGTCACTTGGTCAGTCACTTGGTCAGTCACTCGGTCACTCACTTGGTCAGTCACTTGGTCAGTCACTTGGTCAGTCACTTAGTCAGTCACTTAGTCAGTCACTTGGTCAGTCACTTAGTCACTTGGTCAGTCACTTGGTCAGTCACTTGGTCAGTCACTTGGTCAGTCACTTGGTCAGTCACTTGGTCAGTCAGTCAGTCAGTCACTTGGTCAGTCACTTGGTCAGTCAGTCAGTCAGTCAGTTGGTCAGTCACTTGGTCAGTCACTTGGTCAGTCAGTCAGTCAGTCACTTGGTCAGTCACTTGGTCAGTCACTTGGTCAGTCACTTGGTCAGTTAGTCGGTCAGTCACTTGGTCAGTCACTTAGTCAGTCACTTGGTCAGTCACTTGGTCAGTCACTTGGTCAGTCGCTTGGTCAGTCACTTGGTCAGTCACTTGGTCAGTCACTTGGTCAGTCACTTGGTCAGTCAGTCACTTGGTCAGTCACTTGGTCAGTCACTTGGTCAGTCACTTGGTCAGTCACTTGGTCAGTCACTTGGTCAGTCGCTTGGTCAGTCACTTGGTCAGTCACTTGGTCAGTCAGTTAGTCGGTCAGTCAATCAGTCAGTCGGTCAGTCACTTGGTCAGTAACTTGGTCAGTCAGTTGGTCAGTCGCTTGGTCAGTTGCTTGGTCAGTCACTTGGTCAGTCACTTGGTCAGTCACTTGGTCAGTCACTTGGTCAGTCAGTTAGTCGGTCAGTCACCTGGTCAGTCAGTCGCTCAGTCAATCAGTCACTTGGTCAGTCGCTTGGTCAGTCACGTGGTCAGTCACTTGGTCAGTCAGTTGGTCAGTCACTTGGTCAGTCACTTGGTCAGTCACTCTGTCAGTCAGTCGCTCAGTCAATCAGTCACTTGGTCAGTCACTTGGTCAGTCACTTGGTCAGTCACTCTGTCAGTCAGTCGCTCAGTCAATCAGTCACTTGGTCAGTCACTTGGTCAGTCACTTGGTCAGTCACTTGGTCAGTCACTTGGTCAGTCGGTCAGTCAGTTGGTCAGTCACTTGGTCAGTCAGTTGGTCAGTCACTTGGTCAGTCACTCGGTCAGTCACTTGGTCAGTCACCCGCCCAGCCAGCAGGGCTGGCTAGGCCGGCCCTGGGCCCACCACCACCACCACTACTCATCCTACACCACCTCGCCCGGCCTGGTGCTAGGCGCTCACCATCACGGGCAGGCGGTGAAGGCCTTGCTGCCTCCCAAGGTGAGCGGTCAGTAGGTCAGTAGGTCAGTCGGTCAGTCAGTCAGTCACTTGGTCAGTCAGTCAGTCACTTGGTCAGTCGGTCAGTCGGTCGATCCGTCGGTCAGTCAGTCAGTCGCTCAGTCAATCAGTCAGTCGGTCAGTCACTTGGTCAGTCACTTGGTCAGTCACTTGGTCAGTCACTTGGTCAGTCACTTGGTCGGTCAGTTGGTCAGTCACTTGGTCAGTCACTTGGTCAGTCAGTTGGTCAGTCACTTGGTCAGTCAGTCACTTGGTCAGTCACTTGGTCAGTCAGTCGGTCAGTCACTTGGTCAGTCACTTGGTCAGTCAGTCGGTCAGTCAGTTGGTCAGTCACTTGGTCATTCGGTCGGTCACTTCATCAGTCGGTCGATCCGTCGGTCAGTCACTCCGTCAGTCAGTCGCTCAGTCAATCAGTCACTTGGTCAGTCACTTGGTCAGTCACTTGGTCGGTCGGTCAGTCGATCAGTCGGTCAGTCAGTCACTCGGTCAGTCACTCGGTCGGTCAGTCGGTCGGTCAGTCCGTCAGTCAGTCGATCAGTCAGTCAGTCGGTCAGTCACTCGGTCGGTCGGTCGGTCAGTTAGTCAGTCAGTCAGTCAGTCAGTCGATCAGTCGGTCGGTCGCTCGGTCAGTCGGTCAGTCGGTGGGTCGGTCAGTCAGTCAGTTAGTCGGTCAGTCACTTGGTCAGTCAGTCAGTTGGTCGATCCGTTGGTCAGTCAGTCGGTCAGTCACTTGGTCAGTCAGTCGCTCAGTCAATCAGTCAGTCGGTCAGTCACTCGGTCAGTCGGTCAGTCAGTCACTCGGTCAGTCAGTCAGTTAGTCGGTCAGTCACTTGGTCAGTCGGTCGATCCGTCGGTCAGTCAGTCAGTCGGTCAGTCACTCCGTCAGTCAGTCGCTCAGTCAAGCAGTCACTTGGTCAGTCACTTGGTCAGTCAGTTGGTCAGTCAGTTAGTTAGACGGTTAATCGGTCAATCGGTCAGTCGGTCGGTCAGTTGGTCACTCGGTCAGTCGGTCTGTCAGTCGGTCGGTCAGTCACTTGGTCAGTCGGTCAGTCGGTGGGTCACTTGGTCAGTCAGTCAGTCGGTCGGTCACTTGGTCAGTCAGTTAGTCGGTCGGTCACTTGGTCAGTCACTCGGCCAGTTGGTCAGTCGGTTGGTCGGTCAGTCACTCAGTCAGCCGCTGAGTGAGTAACTTACTGACTGCCTGAGCAAGTGACTCAGTGAGTGAGTGAGTGACTGAGCGAGTGACTCAGTGAGTGAGTGAGTGACTGAGCGAGTGACTCAGTGAGTGAGTGACTGAGTGACTGACTGAGTAACTGAGTGACTGAGTGACTGGCTGAGTGAGTGAGTGACTGACTGAGTGACTGAGTGAGTGACTGAGTGAGTGAATGACTGAGTGAGTGACTGAGTAAGTGACTGAGTGATTGACTGAGTGACTGAGTGACTGGCTGAGTGACTGACTGACTGACTGAGTGGCTGACTGAGTGACTGGCTGAGTGACTGGCTGAGTGACTGAGTGACTGAGTGACTGAGTGAGTGACTGAGTGACTGAGTGAGTGACTGAGTGACTGACTGAGTGACTGAGTGAGTGACTGAGTGGCTGACTGAGTGACTGAGTGACTGAGTGAGTGACTGAGTGACTGAGTGAGTGACTGAGTGACTGAGTGAGTGACTGAGTGAGTGACTGAGTGACTGACTGAGTGACTGAGTGAGTGACTGAGTGGCTGACTGAGTGACTGAGTGACTGAGTGAGTGACTGAGTGACTGACTGAGTGACTGAGTGACTGAGTGAGTGACTGAGTGACTGAGTGAGTGACTGAGTGACTGACTGAGTGACTGTGTGTGGCTACAGGAGGTGGATGAGGCGGTGCTACAGGCACTGAGGGACACAGGAGTACTGTCCAACCCGAACCACCTTCAGTGGAACTGGGACCTCATTCGTACTCTTCTCAAGGTGATGACTCACACACAGAGACAGACATACACACACAGACACACACACACAGACACACACAGACACACACACACAGACACACACACACAGACACACACACACAGACACACACACACACAGACACACACACACACACACAGACACACAGACACACACACACAGACACACACACACACAGACACACACACACACACACAGACACACACACACACTAGACACACATACACACAGACACACACACACAGACACACACACAGACACACACACAGACACACAAACACACAGACACACACACAGACACATACAGACACACACACAGGCACACACACACAGACACACACACAGACACACACACACACAGACACACACAGACACACACACACACACAGAGACACACACACACACAGACACACACAGACACACACACAGACACACACAGACACACACAGAGACACACACACAGACACACACAGACACAGAGACACACAGACACACAGACACACACACACAGACACACAGAGACACAGACACACACAGACACACAGACACACACACACAGACACACACACACAGACACACACAGACACAGACACACACACACAGACACACACACACAGACACACAGAGACACAGACACACACAGTCACACACACACAGTCACACACACACAGATACACACACACACACAGACACACACACACACACAGACACATACACAGACACATACACACACACACAGACATAGACACACACACACACACAGACACACACACACACACAGACACACACACAGACACACAGACACACACAGACACATACACACACACATACACACACACACACAGACACACACACAGACACACACACACACACAGACACACACACACACAGACACACACACACACACAGAGACACACACACACACACAGACACACACAGACACACACAGAGACACACACAGACACACACAGACACAGAGACACACAGACACACACACACAGACACACAGAGACACAGACACACACAGACACACACACACACAGACACACACACACAGACACACACACACAGACACACACACAGACACAGACACACACACACAGAAACACACACACAGACACACAGACACACACACAGACACACACACACACAGACATAGACACACACACACACACAGACACACACACACACACAGACACACACACAGACACACAGACACACACAGACACATACACACACACATACACACACACACACAGACACACACACAGACACACACACACACACAGACACACACACACACAGACACACACACACACACAGAGACACACACACACACACAGACACACACAGACACACACAGAGACACACACAGACACACACAGACACAGAGACACACAGACACACACACACAGACACACAGAGACACAGACACACACAGACACACACACACACAGACACACACACACAGACACACACACACAGACACACACACAGACACACACACACACACACAGAAACACACACACAGACACACAGACACACACAGACACACACACACACAGACACACACACACAGACACACACACAGACACACACACACACACAGACACACACACACAGACACACACACACAGACACACACACACACAGACACAGTGTGAGTGAGTGGGTGAGTGAGTGAGTCGGTGAGTTATTCTAGTTAAGTGGTAGTTGAGTGGTAGTTAGGAGGTAGTTGAGTGGTAGTTAGGGGGTAGTTAAGTGGTAGTTAGGGAGTAGTTGAGTGGTAGTTAGGGGGGTAGTTAGGGGGGTAGTTGAGTGGTGGTTATGGGGTAGTTGAGTGGTAGTTAGGGGGTAGTTGAGTGGTAGTTAGGAGGTAGTTGAGTGGTGGTTAGGGGGTAGTTGAGTGGTAGTTGAGTGGTGGTTAGGGGGTAGTTGAGTGGTAGTTAGGAGGTAGTTGAGTGGTAGTTGAGTGGTAGTTAGGGGGTAGTTGAGTGGTAGTTAGGGGTAGTTGAGTGGTAGTTAGGTGGTAGTTGAGTGGTAGTTAGGGGGTAGTTGAGTGGTAGTTAGGGGGTAGTTGAGTGGGAGTTAGTGGGTAGTTGAGTGGTAGTTAGGAGGTAATTGAGTGGTAGTTAGGGGGTAGTTGAGTGGTAGTTAGGGGGTAGTTGAGTGCTAGTTAGTTGGTAGTTGAGTGGTAGTTAGGAGGTAATTGAGTGGTAGTTAGGGGGTAGTTGAGTGGTAGTTAGGGGGTAGTTCAGTGATGTTTGTGGATTTTTGTTGTTTCAGTGGCCAGGATTGACCCTCAAGTCTTGCAAAGAGGAGATGATGCACCGGTAACCAACTACCACTAACTAGCACTAACTAGTACCAATAACTAGCACTAACTAGTAGCACTAACTAGTACCACTAACTAGTACCACTAACTAGTAGCACTAACTAGTACCACTAACTAGTAGCACTAACTAGTACCACTAACTAGCACTAACTAGTACCACTAACTAGTACCAATAACTAGTATTAACTAGTCCTACTAACTACCACTAACTAGTACCACTAACTACTTCTAACTAGTACCACTAACTAGCACTAACTAGTACCACTCACTACTACTAACTAGCACTAACTAGTACCAATAACTAGTACCACTAACCAGTAGCACTAACTAGTACCACTAACTAGTACCAATAACTAGTACTAACTAGTAGCACTAACTAGTAGCACTAACTAGTAGCACTAACTAGTAGCACTAACTAGTACCACTAACTAGTACCACTAACTAGTACCACTAACTAGTAGCACTAACTAGTACCACTAACTAGTAGCACTAACTAGTAGCACTAACTAGTAGCACTAACTAGTAGCACTAACTAGTACCACTCACTACTACTAACTTGTACTGACTAGTACCACTAACTAGCACTAACTAGTACCACTAACTAGTACCACTAACTAGTACCACTGACTAGCACCATTAACTAGCACTAACTAGTAACAGTAACTACCACTAACTAGTACCACTAACTAGCACTAACTAGTACCACTAACTAGTACCACTAACTAGTGCCACTAACTAGTACCATTCACTACTACTAATTAGTACTGGCTAGTACCACTAACTAGTACCACTAACTAGCACTAACTAGTACCACTAACTAGTACCACTGACTAGTACCATTAACTAGCACTAACTAGTAGCACTAACTAGTAACAGTAACTACCACTAACTAGTACCACTAACTAGCACTAACTAGTACCACTAACTAGTACCACTAACTAGTACCACCAACTAGTACCATTCACTACTACTAATTAGTACTGGCTAGTACCACTAACTAGTACCACTGACTAGCACTAACTAGTACCACTGACTAGTACCATTAACTAGCACTAACTAGTAGCACTAACTAGTAACAGTAACTACCACTAACTAGTACCACTAACTAGCACTAACTAGTACCACTAACTAGTACCACTAACTAGTACCATTCACTACTACTAACTAGTACTGACTAGTACCACTAACTAGTACCACTAACTAGCACTAACTAGTACCACTGAATACTACTAACTAGTACTGAATAGTACCACTAACTAGTACCACTAACTAGTACCACTCACTACTTCTAACTAGTACTAACTAGTACCACAAACTACCACTAACTATCACTAACTAGTACTAACCAGTACTGACTAGTACCACTAACTACCACTAACTAGTACCACTAACTAGTACCAGCAACTACCACTAACTAGTACCACTATCTAGTACCACCAACTAGTACCATTCACTACTACTAATTAGTACTGGCTAGTACCACTAACTAGTACCACTGACTAGCACTAACTAGTACCACTGACTAGTACCATTAACTAGCACTAACTAGTAGCACTAACTAGTAACAGTAACTACCACTAACTAGTACCACTAACTAGCACTAACTAGTACCACTAACTAGTACCACTAACTAGTACCATTCACTACTACTAACTAGTACTGACTAGTACCACTAACTAGTACCACTAACTAGCACTAACTAGTACCACTGAATACTACTAACTAGTACTGAATAGTACCACTAACTAGTACCACTAACTAGTACCACTCACTACTTCTAACTAGTACTAACTAGTACCACAAACTACCACTAACTATCACTAACTAGTACTAACCAGTACTGACTAGTACCACTAACTACCACTAACTAGTACCACTAACTAGTACCAGCAACTACCACTAACTAGTACCACTATCTAGTACCATTAACTAGTACCACTAACTAGCACTAACTAGTACCACTAACTAGTACCACTAACTAGTAACATTACTCTCTCTCCATGTCTCTCTCTCTCTCCCCGTGTCTCTCTCTCTCCCCGTGTCTCTCTCCCTGTCTCTCTCCCCGTGTCTCTCTCCCCGTGTCTCTTTCTCCCCGTGTCTCTCTCTCCCCGTGTCTCTCTCTCCCCGTGTCTCTCTCTCCCCGTGTCTCTCTCCCCGTGTCTCTCTCCCCGTGTCTCTTTCTCCCCGTGTCTCTCTCTCCCCGTGTCTCTCTCTCCCCGTGTCTCTCTCTCTCCCCGTGTCTCTCTCTCCCCGTGTCTCTCTCTCTCCCCGTGTCTCTCTCTCTCTCTCCCCGTGTCTCTCTCTCCCCGTGTCTCTCTCTCCCCGTGTCTCTCTCTCCCCGTGTCTCTCTCTCACCGTGTCTCTCTCTCTCCCCGTGTCTCTCTCTCCCCGTGTCTCTCTGTCTCCCCGTGTCTCTCTCTCTCCCCGTGTCTCTCTCTCCCCGTGTGTCTCTCCCCGTGTCTCTCTCTCTCCCCGTGTCTCTCTCTCCCCGTGTCTCTCTCTCTCTCTCCCCGTGTCTCTCTCTCTCTCCCCGTGTCTCTCTCTCCCCGTGTCTCTCTCTCCCCGTGTCTCTCTCTCCCCGTGTCTCTCTCTCTCCCCGTGTCTCTCTCCCCGTGTCTCTCTCTCCCCGTGTCTCTCTCTCCCCGTGTCTCTCTCTCCCCGTGTCTCTCTCTCTCCCCGTGTCTCTCCCCGTGTCTCTCTCTCCCCATGTCTCTCTCTCTCCCCGTGTCTCTCTCTCTCCCCGTGTCTCTCTCTCTCTCCCCGTGTCTCTCTCTCACCGTGTCTCTCTCCCCGTGTCTCTCTCTCCCCGTGTCTCTCTCCCCGTCTCTCTCTCTCTCTCTCTCCCCGTGTCTCTTTCTCCCCGTGTCTCTCTCTCCCCGTGTCTCTCTCTCCCCGTGTCTCTCTCTCCCCGTGTCTCTCTCCCCGTGTCTCTCTCCCCGTGTCTCTTTCTCCCCGTGTCTCTCTCTCCCCGTGTCTCTCTCTCCCCGTGTCTCTCTCTCTCCCCCTGTCTCTCTCTCCCCGTGTCTCTCTCTCTCCCCGTGTCTCTCTCTCTCTCTCCCCGTGTCTCTCTCTCCCCGTGTCTCTCTCTCCCCGTGTCTCTCTCTCCCCGTGTCTCTCTCTCACCGTGTCTCTCTCTCTCCCCGTGTCTCTCTCTCCCCGTGTCTCTCTGTCTCCCCGTGTCTCTCTCTCTCCCCGTGTCTCTCTCTCCCCGTGTCTCTCTCCCCGTGTCTCTCTCTCTCCCCGTGTCTCTCTCTCCCCGTGTCTCTCTCTCTCTCTCCCCGTGTCTCTCTCTCTCTCTCCCCGTGTCTCTCTCTCTCTCCCCGTGTCTCTCTCTCCCCGTGTCTCTCTCTCCCCGTGTCTCTCTCTCCCCGTGTCTCTCTCTCTCCCCGTGTCTCTCTCCCCGTGTCTCTCTCTCCCCGTGTCTCTCCCCGTGTCTCTCTCTCCCCGTGTCTCTCTCTCTCCCCGTGTCTCTCCCCGTGTCTCTCTCTCCCCATGTCTCTCTCTCTCCCCGTGCCTCTCTCTCTCCCCGTGTCTCTCTCTCTCTCCCCGTGTCTCTCTCTCACCGTGTCTCTCTCCCCGTGTCTCTCTCTCCCCGTGTCTCTCTCCCCGTCTCTCTCTCTCTCTCTCTCTCCCCGTGTCTCTCTCTCCCCGTGTCTCTCCCCCCGTGTCTCTCTCTCCCCGTGTCTCTCTCTCCCCGTGTCTCCCCGTGTCTCTCTCTCCCCGTGTCTCTCTCTCTCCCCGTGTCTCTCTCTCTCCCCGTGTCTCTCTCTCTCCCCGTGTCTCTCTCTCTCCCCGTGTCTCTCTCTCTCCGTCTCTCTCTCCCCGTCTCTCTCTCCGTGTCTCTCTCCCCGTGTCTCTCTCTCTCTCTCCCCGTGTCTCTCTCTCTCTCCCCGTGTCTCTCTCTCTCCCCGTGTCTCTCTCTCCCCGTGTCTCTCTCTCTCCCCATGTCTCTCTCCCCGTGTCTCTCTTTCCCCGTGTCTCTCTCTCTCTCCCCGTGTCTCTCTCTCTCCCCGTGTCTCTCTCTCCCCGTGTCTCTCTCCCCGTGTCTCTCTCTCTCCCCGTGTCTCTCTCTCCCCGTGTCTCTCTCTCTCCCCGTGTCTCTCTCTCTCCCCGTGTCTCTCTCTCTCCGTCTCTCTCTCTCTCCCCGTCTCTCTCTCCGTGTCTCTCTCCCCGTGTCTCTCTCTCTCTCCCTGTGTCTCTCTCTCTCTCTCCCCGTGTCTCTCTCTCTCCCCGTGTCTCTCTCTCCCCGTGTCTCTCTCTACCCGTGTCTCTCTCTCACCGTGTCTCTCTCACCGTGTCTCTCTCTCCCCCCGTGTCTCTCTCTCCCCGTGTCTCTCTCTACCCGTGTCTCTCTCCCCGTGTCTCTCTCTCCCCGTGTCTCTCTCCGTGTCTCTCTCTCCCCGTGTCTCTCTCTCCCCGTGTGTCTCTCTCTCTCCCCGTGTCTCTCTCTCTCCGTGTCTCTCTCTCCCCGTGTCTCTCTCTCTCTCCCCGTGTCTCTCTCTCCCTGTGTTTCTCTCTCCGTGTCTCTCTCTCTCTCTCTGCCCGTGTCTCTCTCTCTCTCCCCCCGTGTCTCTCTCTCCCCGTGTCTCTCTCTCTCCCCGTGTCTCTCTCTCTCCCCGTGTCTCTCTCTACCCGTGTCTCTCTCCCCGTGTCTCTCTCTCCCCGTGTCTCTCTCCCCGTGTCTCTCTCCGTGTCTCTCTCTCCCCGTGTCTCTCTCTCCCCGTGTGTCTCTCTCTCTCCCCGTGTCTCTCTCTCTCCGTGTCTCTCTCTCCCCGTGTCTCTCTCTCTCTCCCCGTGTCTCTCTCTCCCCGTGTTTCTCTCTCCGTGTCTCTCTCTCTCTGCCCGTGTCTCTCTCTCTCTCCCCGTGTCTCTCTCTCCCCGTGTCTCTCTCCGTGTCTCTCTCTCCCCGTGTCTCTCTCTCCCCGTGTGTCTCTCTCTCTCCCAGTGTCTCTCTCTCCCCGTGTCTCTCTCTCCCCGTGTCTCTCTCTCCCCGTGTCTCTCTCTCTCCCCGTGTCTCTCTCTCTCCCCGTGTCTCTCTCCCCGTGTCTCTCTCTCCCCGTGTGTCTCTCTCTCACCGTATCTCTCTCCCCGTGTCTCTCTCCGTGTTTCTCTCTCTCCCCGTGTCTCTCTCTCCCCGTGTCTCTCTCTCCCCGTGTCTCTCTCTCCCCGTGTCTCTCTCTCCCCGTCTCTCTCTCTCCCCGTGTCTCTCCCTCTCCCCATGTCTCTCCCTGTGTCTCTCTCCCCGTGTCTCTCTCCCCGTGTCTCTCTCTCTCTCCCCGTGTCTCTCTCTCCCCGTGTCTCTCTCTCCCCGTGCCTCTCTCTCCCCGTGTCTCTCTCCCCGTGTCTCTCTCTCTCCCCGTGTCTCTCTCTCTCCCCGTGTCTCTCTCTCCCCGTGTCTCTCTCCCCGTGTCTCTCTCTCTCCCCGTGTCTCTCTCTCTCTCCCCATGTCTCTCTCTCCCCGTGTCTCTCTCTCCCCGTGTCTCTCTCTCCCCGTCTCTCTCTCTCCCCGTGTCTCTGTCTCTCCCCGTGTCTCTCTCCCTCTCCCCGTGTCTCTCCCTGTGTCTCTCTCCCCGTGTCTCTCTCCCCGTGTCTCTCTCTCCCCGTGTCTCTCTCCGTGTCTCTCTCTCCCCGTGTCTCTCTCTCCCCGTGTGTCTCTCTCTCTCCCCGTATCTCTCTCTCTCCGTGTCTCTCTCTCCCCGTGTCTCTCTCTCTCCCCGTCTCTCTCTCTCCCCGTGTTTCTCTCTCCGTGTCTCTCTCTCTCTCTGCCCGTGTCTCTCTCTCTCTCTCTCCCCGTGTCTCTCTCTCCCCGTGTCTCTCTCTCTCCCCGTGTCTCTCTCTCTCCCCGTGTCTCTCTCTCCCCGTGTCTCTCTCTCCCCGTGTGTCTCTCTCCCCGTGTCTCTCCCTGTCTCTCTCTCTCCCCGTGTCTCTCTCTCTCCCCGTGTCTCTCTCTCTCTCCCCATGTCTCTCTCTCCCCGTGTCTCTCTCTCTCTCCCCGTGTCTCTCTCTCTCTCCCCGTGTCTCTCTCTCTCCCCGTGTCTCTCTCTCTCCGTGTCTCTCTCTCCCCGTGTCTCTCTCTCTCCCCGTGTCTCTCTCTCTCCCCGTGTCTCTCCAGGTTTGTACGTCGCCTGCTGCACTTTGTGACTCCATCTGCGTGTCTCTTCTCACGCGTGGACGTGGCGCTGGAGAGCGGACGCTCCATCTCCCTCTCCGCCCTGGACCTCACCGTGTTCCTACTGCACTCGGATGATGTGAGGGGAGAGAGAGACATGGGGAGAGAGAGAGAGAGACACGGGGAGAGAGAGAGAGACACGGGGAGAGAGAGAGAGACACGGGGAGAAAGAGAGACACGGGGAGAGAGAGAGAGACTCGGGGAGAGAGAGACACGGGGAGAGAGAGAGAGAGACACGGAGAGAGAGAGAGAGACACGGGGAGAGAGAGAGAGACACGGGGAGAGAGAGACACGGGGAGAGAGAGACACGGGGAGAGAGAGAGACACGGGGAGAGAGAGACACGGGGAGAGAGAGACACGGGGAGAGAGAGAGAGAGAGAGACTCAGGGAGAGAGAGACACGGGGAGAGAGAGAGAGAGACACGGAGAGAGACACGGGGAGAGAGACACGGGGAGAGAGAGACACGGGGAGAAAGAGACACGGTGAGAGAGAGACACGGGGAGAGAGAGAGAGAGACACGGGGAGAGAGAGAGACACGGGGAGAGAGAGAGAGAGAAACACGGGGAGAGAGAGAGACATGGGGAGAGAGAGAGACACGGGGAGAGAGAGACACGGGGAGAGAGAGAGAGAGACACGGGGAGAGAGAGAGACACGGGGAGAGAGAGACACGGGGAGAGAGAGAGAGACGGGGAGAGAGAGAGAGACACGGGGAGAGAGAGAGACGGGGAGAAAGAGAGAGAGACACGGGGAGAGAGAGACACGGGGAGAGAGAGACACGGGGAGAGAGAGAGACACGGGTAGAGAGAGATACGGGGAGAGAGACACGGAGAGAGAGAGACACGGGGAGAGAGAGAGAGAGACACGGGGAGAGAGAGACACGGGGAGAGAGAGGCACGGGGACAGAGAGACATGGGGAGAGAGAGACACGGGGAGAGAGAGACACGGGGAGAGAGAGACACGGGGAGAGAGAGACACGGGGAGAGAGAGACACGGGGAGAGAGAGACACGGGGAGAGAGAGAGACGGGGAGAGAGAGACACGGGGAGAGAGAGACACGGGGAGAGAGAGACACAGGGAGAGAGAGACACGGGGAGAGAGAGAGACACGGGGAGAGAGAGAGAGACACGGTGAGAGAGAGAGAGAGACACGGGGAGAGAGAGAGAGAGACACGGGGAGAGAGAGAGACACGGGGAGAGAGAGACACGGAGAGAGAGACACGGGGAGAGAGAGAGACACGGGGAGAGAGAGATACGGGGAGAGAGACACGGAGAGAGAGAAACACGGGGAGAGAGAGACACGGGGAGAGAGAGACACGGGGAGAGAGAGGCACGGGGAGAGAGAGAGAGACACACGGGGAGATAGAGAGAGAGACACGGGGAGAGAGAGACAGACACAGGGAGAGACACGGGGAGAGAGAGACAGACACGGGGAGAGAGAGAGACACGGGGAGACACGGGGAGAGAGACACGGGGATAGAGAGACACGGGGAGAGAGAGAGAGAGAGACAGAGAGAGAGACACGGGGAGAGAGAGACACGGGGAGAGAGAGACACGGGGAGAGAGAGAGAGACACGGGGAGAGAGAGACACGGGGAGAGAGAGACACGGGGAGAGAGAGACACGGGGAGAGAGAGACACGGGGAGAGAGAGACACGGAGGGAGAGACACGGGGAGAGAGAGACACGGGGGGAGAGAGACACGGGGAGAGAGAGACACAGAGGGAGAGACACGGGGAGAGAGACACGGGGAGAGAGAGACACGGGGAGAGAGAGAGACACGGGGAGAGACACGGAGAGAGAGACACGGGGAGAGAGAGACACGGGGGGAGAGAGACACGGGGAGAGAGAGACACGGAGGGAGAGACACGGGGAGAGAGACACGGGGAGAGAGAGACACGGGGAGAGAGAGAGACATGGGCAGAGACATGGGGAGAGAGAGACACGGGGAGAGAGAGAGACACGGGGAGAGAGAGACACGGGGGGAGAGAGACACGGGGAGAGAGAGACATGGGGAGAGAGACACGGGGAGAGAGAGAGACACGGGGAGAGAGAGAGACACGGTGAGAGAGAGAGAGACACGGGGAGACAGAGAGACACGGGGAGAGAGAGACACGGGGGGAGAGAGACACGGGGAGAGAGAGACACGAGGAGAGAGACACGGGGAGAGAGAGACACGGGGAGAGCGAGAGACGGGGAGAGAGAGAGACACGGGGTGAAAGAGACACGGGGAGAGAGAGACACGGGGGGAGAGAGACACGGGGAGAGAGAGACACGGGGGGAGAGAGACACGGGGAGAGAGAGACACGGGGAGAGAGACACGGGGAGAGAGAGACACGGGGAGAGCGAGAGACGGGGAGAGAGAGAGACACGGGGTGAGAGAGACACGGGGAGAGAGAGACTCGGGGGGAGAGAGACACGGGGAGAGAGACACGGGGAGAGAGAGACACGGGGAGAGAGACACAGGGAGAGAGACACAGGGAGAGAGAGAGACACGTGGAGAGAGAGACAGACACAGGGAGAGACACGGGGAGAGAGAGACAGACACGGGGAGAGAGAGAGACACGGGGAGACACGGGGAGTGAGACACGGGGATAGAGAGACACGGGGAGAGAGAGAGACACAGAGAGAGAGACACGGGGAGAGAGAGACACGGGGAGAGAGAGACACGGGGAGAGAGAGACACGGGGAGAGAGAGACACGGGGAGAGAGAGACACGGGGAGAGAGAGACACGGGGAGAGAGAGACACGGAGGGAGAGACACGGGGAGAGAGACACGGGGAGAGAGACACGGGGAGAGAGAGAGAGACACGGGGAGAGACACGGAGAGAGAGAGACACGGGGAGAGAGAGACACGGGGAGAGAGAGACACGGGGAGAGAGAGAGACACGGGCAGAGACACGGGGAGAGAGAGACACGGGGAGAGAGAGAGACACGGGGAGAGAGAGACACGGGGGGAGAGAGACACGGGGAGAGAGAGACACGGGGAGAGAGAGAGAGACACGGGGAGAGAGAGACACGGGGAGAGAGAGAGAGACACGGGGAGAGAGAGACACGGGGAGAGAGAGACACGGGGAGAGAGAGACACGGAGGGAGAGACACGGGGAGAGAGACACGGGGAGAGAGACACGGGGAGAGAGAGAGAGACACGGGGAGAGACACGGAGAGAGAGAGACACGGGGAGAGAGAGACACGGGGAGAGAGAGAGACACGGGCAGAGACACGGGGAGAGAGAGACACGGGGAGAGAGAGAGACACGGGGAGAGAGAGACACGGGGAGAGAGAGAGAGACACGGGGAGAGAGAGACACGGGGAGAGAGAGAGAGACACGGGGAGAGAGAGACACGGGGAGAGCGAGAGACGGGGAGAGAGAGAGACACGGGGAGAGAGAGACACGGGGGGAGAGAGACACGGGGAGAGAGAGACACGGGGGGAGAGAGACACGGGGAGAGACAGACACGGGGGGAGAGAGACACGGGGAGAGAGAGACACGGGGGGAGAGAGACACGGGGAGAGAGACACGGGGAGAGAGAGACACGGGGAGAGAGAGACACGGGGAGAGAGACACGGGGAGAGAGAGACACGGGGAGAGAGACACAGGGAGAGAGAGACACGGGGAGAGAGACACGGGGGGAGAGAGACACGGGGAGAGAGACACGGGGAGAGAGACACGGGGGGAGAGAGACACGGGGAGAGAGACACGGGGAGAGAGAGACACGGGGAGAGAGACACGGGGAGAGAGAGGCACGGGGAGAAAGACACGGGGAGAGAGACACGGGGAGAGAGACACGGGGAGAGAGACACGGGGAGAGAGAGACACGGGGAGAGAGACACGGGGAGAGAGACACGGGGAGAGAGACACGGGGAGAGAGACACGGGGAGAGAGAGACACGGGGGGAGAGAGACACGGGGAGAGAGAGACACGGGGGGCGAGAGACACGGGGAGAGAGAGACACGGGGAGAGAGAGACACGGGGGGAGAGAGACACGGGGAGAGAGACACGGGGAGAGAGAGACACGGGGAGAGAGACACGGGGAGAGAGAGACACGGGGAGAGAGACACGAGCTTCTGAGTGAGTGTCTGAGTGAGTGAGTGTCTGAGTGAGTGTCTGAGTGAGTGACTGAGTGTCTGACTGAGTGTCTGTGTGTCTGACTGAGTGTCTGAGTGAGCGACTGACTGAGTGTCTGACTGAGTGTCTGAGTGAGTGTCTGACTGAGTGTCTGACTGAGTGTCTGAGTGAGTGTCTGAGTGTCTGACTGAGTGTCTGAGTGAATGACTGAGTGTCTGAGTGTCTGACTGAGTGACTGAGTGTCTGACTGAGCGACTGAGTGTCTGACTGAGTGTCTGACTGAGTGTCTGTGTGTCTGAGTGTCTGAGTGAATGACTGAGTGTCTGACTGAGTGTCTGTCTGAGTGCCTGACTGAGCGACTGAATGGCTGAGTGTCTGACTGAGTGTCTGAGTGTCTGAGTGAGTGTCTGAGTATCTGAGTGTCTGAGTGTCTGACTGAGTGTCTGAGTGAGTGTCTGAGTGTCTGAGTGAATGACTGAGTGTCTGACTGAGTGTCTGTCTGAGTGCCTGACTGAGCGACTGAATGTCTGAGTGTCTGACTGAGTGTCTGAGTGAGTGTCTGAGTATCTGAGTGTCTGAGTGTCTGACTGAGTGTCTGAGTGAGTGTCTGAGTATCTGAGTGACTGAGTGTCTGTCTGAGTGTCTGACTGAGTGTCTGAGTGTCACCTCCCCTTGTCCCGCAGGACGGGTCCGCCTACTTAGACGAGCTCCTCAAGGACATCGTCAAGTGGCTGTCTGAGTGTCTGAGTGTCTGAGTGAATGTCTGAGTGTCTGACTGAGTGTCTGAGTGAGTGTCTGAGTGAATGTCTGAGTGTCTGAGTGAGTGTCTGAGTGAGTGTCTGAGTGTCTGACTGAGTGTCTGACTCAGTGAGTGAGTGTCTGAGTGCCTGACCGAGCGACTGACTGTCTGAGTGTCTGTCTGAGTGTCTGACTGAGTGTCTGAGTGAGTGTCTGTGTGTCTAAGTGTCTGAGTGAATGACTGAGTGTCTGAGTGAGTGTCTGTGTGTCTGAGTGTCT